CCAATACCTACATCAATACTTAGTTCTGAAAGCATTTAAGAACGTATAACTTTCTACTACTAAAATAAAATTGACTCACTTGTTCTGGATGAGTTCAGCAATATCTCTAACGTAACCGATATCCATCGGCTCACAGTCTCCAATAGACAGACTGACTGCCAGCAGCACAGATATCCAACACAGGCCAGCCATCTGCACACAAATCAAGTCATTGACAGAGTTTCAAACATGAGAGAGGACAAGTGAAAAAGAAACACATCTGTCTCTTAATTGTTATCCTTAATACTTTTTAAAAAATATACAAAACTCAATAAAAATCACACTTAACTCTATAGCTCCTGCTATGGAATAACAATGCTTCTGTCGTGGATGTTAAGATAAATAAACTGAAGTGTTGTTAAAACAGTGGTTTTATGCAACTAGGACTTTAACTTTTAAATGTTGTTCAGCCCTCTTTTTGTTTTGTAATTGTTTACCTGCAACAGATAAAGATCTTGGGCGCAGTCAGTTGGGTTAGTGATAACACCGAGCCTGTCTGCTGCTTGCTGTAACAATGCACTTCACTTCTATCTGAGCCTTAATTATTAACAATCATAAATCCACAGAAACAGCTAACAACATTAAACATTATTTATCTAGAGATGAAACAATAATAACTAATAACTATCAGAGCCACACATTCCTCACCTTCATTTTTGTCTGTCAGTCTGAACAATACCTGCAACAGAAAAGAGAAACACTGAATAATGGCTTTATGTGGAAATTACAGTAATAATAGTCTTTTGTGTTTTAACCCTATTGACATACAACTTTTTTTTAACTGAGGAGGAATATCAAGCAGAATAGTTTTGAATTGGCACGATCACTGTGTAATATATCTGACGATATTTAGGGTCATGCAAGGCATGTAACCCTGTCGCCCTAAATTGTGATTTATTGTGTTTTTAATAACATTCATTTAGAGAGAACATCATATTGCTGCCTGACTCACATTGTTCATCAGCTCAATAAATAAATGTGACATTGAATTTAATTTGTTTTCCTACAATGTCCTCTCTTTCAAAATATATGTTTGTAAGTAACCAAAAACAAGAGCTGTCAAATAAATGTAGTAAAAAGTACAATATTGGCTTCTAATTGTAGTAGACTAGAAGTATAAAGTAGCATAGACTAAGAATACTCGAGTAAAGTACAAGTTTTTCTCGTGTTTTCTCCCTTGTTTCTTTTACCTGTCTGTCGGAGAGAGATGTCTGATGGATGCTCCAAAGCTTCTTCTTCTTCTTCTTGGCTCTGAGTGTGAGGAGTAAGCTGCTGTGGGGAAGACGGTCTGAACTAACATCCTTTATAGGAGGAGAGGGCGACCATGGCCACACCTTGAAACTTCAGCTCCACCTCTTTGTGTTCAAATGACCTTAACTGTAGGAACAAGAGAAAGTTCCTACAGTACCAAAAAGAAATAAAAGATAGAGAGGGACGATATATTATTGTGAAAGGGACCATTGACTAAACTAAAGTAACATTGGTGAACATGCTTGATCTGATTGCAGTAGAAACAGATATGTATAAGTGGGGGAGATCTCAATTTGATAATGGATTATGATCTGGACACAACAAACTGTAAGATAATTATTACCTATTACAAAGCTGGTGAAAAACACTTGGGAAGAAATGGGATTCTTTGATGTATGGAGGGACCTTAATCCAAAGAAAAAGGATTTCAGCTATTACTCGGCAGTACACTCAGTATACTCACGGATTGATTACTTTTTTATGCAGAAGGAAAATAGGGATAAAATACAGGACTGTCAAATTGGAGTGGCTGACGTGTCTGATCATTGTGCAATCTACTTGAATATTAAACTGGGGTGCAGACGGAGAGACACATTATGGAGATTGAACGTGGGCATATTGAATAACAAATTGGTTGTTGAACAAATCAAAGATGAAATACAGAAATACTTAGAGGAAAACAATAACGACAACACAGACCCAGCCGTATCATGGGATGCATTCAAAGCAGTAATACGAGGAAAATTGATTTCTATTACAAGTAACCTCAAAAAAGTAAAAGAAACTCAATATAATAATCTCACAGCCGACCTGAAACAATTAGAACAAAAACATATAGAAAAAAGTGATAGAAAAACACAATAACAAATCAAAGAGGTGAGAAACCAAATGAACAACTTACTACATCAGGATATGGAGATACTGTAAAAGCAAGATATCTTAAAGGGGACCTATCATGCAAAATGCACTTTTGTACGTCCATACCCAAATCGCTAAAAAAAGGGACTGCAACGGATCTGATAAAAACTGATCCAGATTTGAACACTGTCCTGACGTCAGAACAGTGGCGCTACGGCTATTGGGCCAACTCCACCAATCAGGAGGAGACAGCCACGGCCATTGCCGTTCGAAAGCGCTGGAGAGGCTGTAGTACATATGCCAGGCCTGTAGATGGTGCTGTTCTCACAGAATCAGCCCTTGCAGAGCAGAGCTAAAAAAAAAGTGCAAAATGAGGCATGGCTAAAATGCATGATCTGTTTGGTATTTTGAAAACAGAAACGTATAAATATGCCTTATATAGGTATGGCCCTACAATATATCATTTAAATATACCATGATAGGTCCACTTTAAACAAAATTATTATGAATTAGGCACCAAAGCTACAAAGTTGTTGGCAAGACGATGACGAAAGCAACAGGCAGCAATCACAGTCAACAAACTACATGACCCGAAAACAAATCAACCTAAATATGAACCCAAAGAAATTGAAAATATCTTTAGAAATTATTACAAAGATCTTTGCATGCAAACGTCTACAACGAATCATATGCGTACAAAGTCATTCCGAGACTCACTGGATCTGCCCTCTATAGGTAAAGTTCAACATGAACGTATAACAGCAAAGATAACTATAGATGAAATCCATAAGGCAATCGGAAAACTGAAAACAAACAAAGCTCCAGGTAGTGATGGATTCCCATCTGAGTGGTACAAAAAACTAGAAAAAGAGCTGTCTCCACTGCTACTAGGTGCCTTTAATTGGATCATGTCAAAAGAGGATACTCTCCCCTCATGGAAAGAAGCAATTATTACAGTTATCCCCAAACCACTAAAAGATAAAGAATTTTGTCAAAAGTATAGACCAATCTCAATTCTTATTGTTGATTACAAGCTCTACACTACGATACTATCAAACAGGCTACAAACAATAGTACCAGACCTCATAGATGAGGACCAAACAGGCTTTGTTTCAGGTAGACAGACGCATGATAATATCAGAAGAACGTTACACATCATACATAGAATACAAAAAAATCAAATACCAGCAGCACTGATTAGTCTCGATGCGGAAAAAGCATTTGACAGGGTCAACTGGGAATTTTTATATCTAACATTAAAGACATTTGGATTCAGTAATAAAACAATGAAATGCATCAAGTCTATTTATAACAAACCAACAGCTCGAGTTAAAGTGAACGGCTCACTAACAGACAGATTTACATTGGAAAGAGGAACTAGACAGGGCTGCACCCTGTTTGCTCTATATATAGAACCATTAGCCCAAATGATCAGACAGGAAAGTGCAATAGCAGGAATAGAAATTAGTCAACAAAAACATGTTATTAGCCTTTTCGCAGACGACGTCATGATCATGCTGAATGACCCAGTAAGCTCCTTTACAAAGCTAATGCAAATTATGGAACCATTTGGTGAATATTCAGGATACAAATTAAACATATCTAAAACTCAAATCCTTATGTTTAACTGCGCTACAAATCAAAAACTAAAATAATTTAATTAAAACTGGGAAGCTAAATCAATTAAATACTTAGGAATAAACATACAGTAACCAAAAATGTAGCAAAGCTGTACCAAAGCAACTATGAATGTATTGACAAAGATATAAGGAAAGATTTGGAAAAATGGTCAACTTACCCGATGAGTTTTATTGACAGGAGAAGTGAAAATGAATATTCTACCACGCTTGTTGTATTTATTTCAATCCTTGCCGATAAATATACCGTAGATTCAGTTCCAAAGCTGGGATAAGCTTATATCAAGATTCATATGGGGGGGTAAAAGACCTACAGTAGGATAAGATATACCACACTGCAATTGCCTAAAGAAAAAGGGGGACTGGCACTTCCAAACCTAAAGGAATATTATCATGAGCACAACTACGTCCTCTCATTTACTGGTGCAACTCCGACTATATAGCCCGCTGGAAAGACATCGAAATACTTACATATGAGTCCCCAATTCAACCACTCATAGGTCAAAGAGAAATACCTCCCCATATTAAAGAAAAGGGAGACCTAGACCCAATAACAACATTTACACAAGAAAAATTGTATTCTATTGTTAAACAATTGAAATTGGGAAAGGAACTTGGACTATTAGACTGGATAGCCTATGACAAAGGATTCAAACCAGGAAGCTACAGTATGACTGTAAATTCAAGCAATGGACAGAAAAGGGTTTAACAGCCATATGCACAGTCATCCAGAAGGGAGAAATGAATTCACTAATTTGATCTACTCTGTTTATTTATATTTCCTAGATAACCACAACATAACACACGAACATACTGTAACACCATAACTCCTGTGCACAATTAAAGTTTGGATATCTACACCCCCTGGATTGCTGCAATCTTTCTGACAGGAGATTTAGGCCAGACTTGTACTGTATACACCAGCATTCTTTATTCATAATTTCACACAGAGTGAAAACACAATCAAAATCACATGATAGGAACAAACGAGGTCAAAAGTATCTTCTGAACACAGCAGCCTGCCTTTATTTAGAGCTTAATATAGCCCTTCTTCTCCTGTGAAGTTCAAACCCAAGTCTCCTTCACATTTTCAGGGGAAAAGAAACTCAGACTTTGCCATGGCACAGTCCACCATCAGTGATACTGTAACTTTACAACCAGCCATAAAAGAAGATTGCTGGAAAGGGGAGGGGAACTGCGGAAATGGACTCTCAA